TTTTTCAAGACACTCGATCTTCGCCGGAAAAAAAGCTCGTTATGGAAACCGACGATATGAGCCTCCGAGTCGCCTCCTTCTCTTACTACCTCGACACGGCTAAGGACAACTCATCGGGGCACAAGATTTCGTCTAACGAGAAAACCGAATCCCTTACCCTAGAGTCACCATCTTTTAGCATCAAGATTTCGAAATCCCAAGAAAACGACATAAAAAACACGAAAAACCTTCTACACGACAAATTTCCGAACCTCAAAACCACAACCGACAACTTTGTGTTTGATCTCCCGGCCCGCGTCGTTAAGCCAACGACAAATTTCACCTTCCCTCGCCAAACACTACCTAAAGACGAAGAGATAGGCGTTTTCAACGCCGACAAGTATTTCAACATGAATTTGGAGTACAAAACCGAGCCGAAAACCATGCACGAGAACAAAGTTTCCCGCCCAAACATCACGAACACTAACACTGGAAGCTCGTGTTCTGAGGCCGGGAGTTGGAAAAGCCAAACAGCCCTCATGCCTCCCGGTAATAATTTCCAACAAATTACTTCCTCCGAAAAGCCGAAATGGCTCTTCGGAAGGCGAATTTTCACCGGGCTCGGTTGCAAAGGCCCGTGTTTCGACAAAAACTCTGTTATCCACCTTAGAGTACCGAAAATCACGAAAAACGGCCACCACGGCCGTCTAACGAAAGTCGAGCCTCCAGATGAGCCAAGGAAGTCGATTGAGGTTTTCGGGTCGAATAAAAACGCGTCCAAAAACGATGTGGCTACTGACATGGAGAGGAAGCTCTCGATGCTGACATGGGACGCGATTCCAATAATACACGGGAAAACCGCGGTCCCGAGCAGCACGGTTGTCGACGTGGACATGGCCAGCGAGGCGAGCTCCGACTTGTTCGAGATCGACAACATTTCCGGCCGGTCGGTTACCTTTTCGCCATGCGGGCTGGCCGTGGGCCCCACAGGGGACGATGAGGAATGCATGATGAGCCCGAATTACGATTATGCCCCTAGCGAGGCCAGCATCCAGTGGAGCGTGGTCACGGCTGGCGCAGCAAATTATTCTTCGGTTAATCTCTTGGATTTTAACGACGAGAGCGTGAGTTTGGCCGGCGACTCGATTTCTCAGAAAAAAAGTTCGAAAAAAGTCAATGAGGTTCGGAAGAAGGACCGGTCGGTCGGGATAAACTTGGGGTGCAAAAAGAATCAGAAGGCGGTTGAAGTTGCGGCGGAGAATATCGTGGGCCCGAAGATGATGAGCTGTCATCATGTCGAGAAATCGAAGCTAATTAGTCAGGAAATGGATTTGGTGGAGAAGTTGGGTCGGGTGTCTTTGCAACGGCCCGGTTGATGTAATAGTTTGGGCGACCGGTTCAATCGAACCGGCTCCAGAGGGGAGGCAACCTAGGCATGGGCCTAGGGCCTCCCTTTTATTTGGGGCCTCATATTTTTTTTTTAATATTATGTATTTGTGTTGAGTTTTGTCTATCTACATAAATGAAGCATCATTATTTTTTTAATATTATGTATTTGTGGATTTTGTCTATTTACACAATATCTACACAAATAAAGGGGTTAATGGCTAAATATGGACTTAAATCATTACACAAATGAAGGAGCTAATGGGAAAATATGTAGTTTGTGGGAGATTGAGGCCCTAAATATTTCATTTTTTTCGTATGACGTTCGGTCAGAACAAGTTGTGTGAAAATAAATATTCTTTGTAGTGATATGATTTTTATTTTCTTGTCTTTAGTGTCCTCGTGATTGGTTGATTGTAATTTATTAATGATTTTTGTAGCCCGGAGGTAATTTATCAATTCCAAGTTCAATTTTTTTTTTTCAATTATTTATTTATTTATTTAATAGTATCGTTAAAATTTATGATTCTATCTGCAAATAGGCCTAATTACCACGTAAGTTCAAATCGAGAAAATTCGAAAAACTTGCCTAGGGCCTCCGAATTTCTGGAGACGGCCCGCCGATATATATATGAGTGTTGTTAAGTAACATATGTTTTCATTGGTTTTTCTTAATGTTTGGAATAGTTATGCGAATGGATTGAAATCTACTTTTCTATCTATCGTGTGATTCATAGTAACTACAAGAATAAATATTTTTAGTGGCAGTAATGTTTGTTACTATGTGTTCAAATGTCGTCACAAGATGATATATAAGTGCAAAAATCCATGTTTTTTGTCACATTTTTTTGCAATTGATGATAATGTTCAATATTGTGAACCAAATTTGATTCACGTGAACAAAAACTTCTGTTTGAAAAAAAAAAACTTTTTTTAATACTGTGAATTTTGCGGCTAGATTTTTCATGTATATATATAGTGAATTTCATTATATATTTTGGTTAGATTTTTCTTGTCTGAAAACATCTCTGATTATTTTTTTCATGTAAAAACTCTCGTGGTAGGTAAGATTATGTATACGAGTTGTTTCATGGTTGGCACTGAAGAAGCTGATATATGAGACACATTAGATGTTACAAAGAGCAAAAAATAAAAATAAAAAATTATTTCTTTTTTAATGATGGTTCAATCGTCTATGTAGGTAGCTAGAGTAATTAGATGTGTAACAAGCTGATTCGAGTTTAAACTTATGATACTCGAGCTCGAGCACGATCCTATATCCATACAACTGATCATTTATAAATATTGACGAGTCGACCTACTTTAATAATGATCCAAACTTGAGCTTTAACGAGTCTTAATGATATGATACGAGCCGAACTCGGCCAGTATATATATCAAATGAATTGAGTTAAGCTCGAGTCGCAACGAGGCGAGCTAAGATCACGAGCGGCTCGTGTCGCGTAGCGTCTCTAGATATAAGACACAGAGTGTTAGACTAATAATTAAATAAAATTATTTATAAATATGTAAACTCTTGTTTCACAAAATCCACACAAAATATAGAACTCATCTGACAAAAATATGTTTAGTGATTGACGATTCATGTTTTCCAATT